TACTTCCTCTCTGGGCTGGCTCTGCCTGGGTCTTTAGAACGCAAAGTCTTTCCCAGCTGATGTGGTTCACTGGTTCAATTCCCAGTCAGGGCACATGCCCAGGTTGTGGACTCAAACCCAATAGGGGGTGTGGAGGGGCAGGCGATCAATGTTCAATGTTTCTCTCTCATCGATGTTTCTCTCTCTCTATCCTTCTCCCTTCCTCTCTCTCTAAAAAAATCATATATATATAATGTAAAATGCGAAGTCTCTTCTGTACTCCTACAGTGGGAACACACTGCCTCCTGTTACCCACTGGCAACTCTGGTATCCTCAGGTGAGGATTAAAAAAAAAAGTGTTGGAAAAGCAGCACACAAAATTGATCACAACTTCGTAAAACAAAGCAAAGATGTGAGAAAGGAATTATCAAAATGGTTGTCTTGAGGTAATTTGAGTATTTCTTATTCCTTCATCAAGAAATTTTAAATGTTGGTGCTTTATGCTTTTATTTGCATAGCTACCTATACCACACACCCACCCTCCTGGTGTGAGCCCCATAGGAGCAGAGACGAAGTCTGGGTTTTTTGCTCTGTGCTATACCTCTGACCCCTGGCCCACAGGTCGTCAGCAGTAAATAACTGCTGAGTGAAAGAGCTGGCAGGACATCCACTGGGTTTCCACACACCCCTTGTGTCTCTCCTAACAAACTAAGCCTCCTGAAAGAGAGCAGTTGTGTCAATCCTTGCACCATCAGGCTGTGACCTGGTGCAGATATAACACGACTGCTCTTATAAACAACACCCTCTGCCCGTGACCCTCGGAGACCCAATCCAGCCTCGGAGTGCACTCACTCGCCAGGGTGCGGGGGCTGGGGGCTGGACACCTGATTCTGCTTGGCTTTCTGCTCCATTCTGGCTTCAATTTCCCGTTTCTTCTGAGCTATGAGTTCTTCCTGATGAAGGATGTTCATGTTCATTTTTCCAGACTTGGGAGGAGCAACCCCAAACCACCGGTTAGCCTTTCCTGGGGAGGGAAGAGAAACACATCAGAAATCATCTTTGTGGCACACACATGCCCGGCAGCTGCTACAGGAGCGCCGCAGTTGCTGCTGCTTGTAGCAACGGACATTCAAATTGACATTCATACATATCCACTCGTTCATTTATTCAGCAAACATTTACCGAGCTATATACCAGGTGCTGTGCTAGGTGCTAAACAAGAGAGACAAGGCCTCTGCCTATGTGGAACTCAGGTCTGGCTAGGGAGACAATAAACCTGTAACAAAAAAGTAGCTGCAAAATCCTGATAAGAGCTCTATGCTGGAAACCAAAAAGGATGAGAAGGCATGACAGAGGAGCATCTATTGCTAGAGCAGCCAGAAAATAACCATTTGAAGAGGAAGCAGTTAAGCAGAAACCATAAAGAGCTTCCTAAAAAGCCACATAGGTAACAATCTGGGCAGAGTAAGGTGCAGATGCAAAAACAAAAAGTTGGATAAAGCTTGGTGCATTCAAGGACCAGCAAGGGTCCAATGTGGCTTGAGCAAGTTGTTCCAGGAATGAGAGTATAAGAAAGGGAGTCTAGATTTTACTTTAAGGTCTTTGGAAAGTGTCAGGGAGTATTAAGCTGACAATATCCAATAGGTATTTTTAATTTTAAAATCATTCTGGCTACTACTTGGAGAGAGTGCATAGGCAGCAAACAGACCAGCGAGGAGGCTTTCTGGCTCCAAGCAAAAGATGATGTTGTCTTCAGACATGGGCATTTGGCTGTGAAGATGGAGAAGACACCTCTAAATTTCCCCATGGGATTCAGAATAAAATCCAAATTCTGAAAGTCAATTTTCAAGGCCCTGCCAGAGATGGCCCCCCCTTCCCCATCCTTGACTTTCTTCAAAATGGCAAGCCAGTCCCTCCAAGGCCTTTGCACTTGCCACCCCCACCCCCAACCCCGCTTGGTGTGGAAGGCTCTGCCCCCCAGGCCTCCTTCTCATCTCAAATGTCTTCTACTCAATAAGGCTTTCTTTGGTCACCCAATATCACCAGCCCCCAGCCCAACTCTCTCACATCATAACTCTCTTTGCATAAATAGTTCCTCTTGGTGCATCGTCTGACACCCATTAGAATGTGATCTTCGGGAAGGCAGGGCCCTGTTTTGATTACCACTGCACCCCCCGCGACCAGCACAGTGCCTGGCACACAGTATTTGCTGAATGGGTGGGCGAGTGTATCCATTCTGGGGTGGCTAGGGCTGGAAGAGATGGAAGGGCAAGGCTTGTGGTCAAGTGGAGGCTGGAAAGACTCGGGAGTTTATGTATCCAGGACATGTCTGAGAGCAGTTCAGAAAAACAGCTTTTCCAGAAAGCAGCACACAGGCCAAGAGGCAGCTGCTGCAGAGAGAAGCGCAGGACAGCCCCAAGGTTGCCGTTGTTTGGGGGAGCGGAGTTCGGAATTGGGTTCCTATTTAGTAGAGCCCTGAAGGTGGTTTATTTTTCGGAAAGCCGACGCAAGACAGACCCGGTGTCTGCCTTTACGGAAGCCAAGCGCCCTCAGCAAACCAGGCCCACGGTGGGGGACAGCAACTGGGTCTGAGACCTCGTCAGGCGGGGGAGGTGCAGAACCCGTCGCTTCGGGCCGCCCAGAGGCTGAGGGGGAGGACCGGCGGGTTGGGGCAGACTCGGTCAGAGGACGAAGCGGAGACGCGAAGCTTGGAGGGCGCAGACGGGAGCATGAAAGGAGGAGGGGGCTGTTACCTGCAACATCCCGGTTGTCCATCTTGAGACTCATCCAATCCCACAATGCTCCGGCGCCACCTGAGGAGGCATGTTATAGTGCGCATGGCCTAATGGGAGATGTAGTCCTCATTGGCCAGCCACGCCCTGCCACTGCGGGGACACCTGGGACCTTTCTCGCAGGAACGCATACCTCGGCCTCTCTGCAAGGTCTGGTCTCAGTCCCACAGACCAGACGGCTTCGTCTTTTTTCACACTTTCCGGGAGTCGCAGCCACTCCAAATTATAAACTACATGTTCCAGGATGCTTTGTGCGGCAGCTATCGCGAGGGACGCGAAGAGTGCCGGGCCCCGCCCCGTACGCCTGCTTCCGCCTCCCTGTGGTGACGGCTTGTTGTTGTGGAGGCCAAAATGGCGGCTCAGGCGGCGGCAGCGGCCCAGGCGGCCGCGGCCCAGGCGGCGCAGGCCGAAGCGGCCGAGTCATGGTACCTGGCACTTTTGGGCTTCGCCGAGCACTTCCGCACGTCCAGCCCGCCCAAGATCCGCCTGTGTGTGCACTGCCTGCAGGCGGTGTTCCCCTTCAAGCCGCCTCAGCGCATCGAGGCCCGCACGCACCTGCAACTCGGCTCTGTGCTCTACCACCATACCAAGAACAGCGAACAGGCGCGCAGCCACCTGGAGAAAGCGGTGAGCGCGGGCCGAACCGCGAGGGAGGAGCGCGGGCTCCTTGCGGGGCCTGAACTGACGGGCTGCGACCACGGCAGGCGAGGGCCGTCCATATCGCTCCTCGGGGACCTGGGGTGCGACTTCCCGCCTGGGACGCAGGACCCCTAAGCCGCCACCCTCGCGGGGGGCGTTATTTAACCTCTCTAGTGACAGACAGTGTCCAGCGCCCTGCTCTTCTGAGGAGCCGCAGCGTCCCCAAATTCGTTAGGTTTTCCGGAGTAGACATGCTGGCGCCTTTGGAGACGTCCCCAGATTGCCGGGGAGTCCTGCAGCTTCCAGCTTCTCGGGGCTCAGCCCCAGCATCAGCCTGAGCGCGCCCTCCCGAAGCGGCTCGGGACAGTGCGGGGCCGAGGTGACAGGCCAGGCGCCCCTCAGGAATCTGATGTTTGGTCTCTCGGAAAACCCAGGGAAGCATTCTCTCCCGGGACCCGGAAGTCTGATTAGTGTCTAGGGCAGTGGTTCTCAACCTTCCTAATGCCGCGACCCTTTCATACAGTTCCTCATGTTGAAGTAACCCCCAACCGTAAAATTATTTTCGTTGCTACTTCGTAACTGTAATTTTGCTACTGTTACGAATCATAACGTAAACATCTGATATGCAGGATGTATTTTCATTGTTACAAATTGAACATAATTAAAGCATAGTGATTAATCACAAAAACAATATGTAATTATATATGTGTTTTCCGATGGTCTTAGAGGACCCTGTGAGAGGGTCGTTCGACCCCCAAAGGGGTCGCGACCCACAGGTTGAGAACCGCTGGTCTAGAGTGTATTGTGCCCCCATTAGTGTTGCGAGGAGTCATGGGTGGGAGGCAGAGGCCCAGAGCCTGGAATTAGTTGTTTGAAGTCCTAGAAGGGGGCGGACGGAGGTGGGTATCGGGCTGGATTCTAAAACCAGTTTGCTCAGTGGTGAGGGTGGGGGAAGGGGCGCTCCTAGCTCTTGCCTTCTCTGTATTCACCTGGTGACTTCTCTTCCTCCCACCATCCCCTTCAGAGGGCAGGCCTCCCCTCCCCCCAACCCCCCATCTTTTGTTGTTAATCCTTGCCCGAGGATATTTTCCCCCTCGATTTTTAGAGAGAGTGGAAGAGGGGGGAGAGACACAAAGATGGGTTGCCTCCTGCACTCGGTGGACTGTGGCTGGGATGGAACCTGCAACCCAGGGATGTGCCCTTGATGGGGATTCCAACTTGTGACCCTTACGAATGCAAGCTGAAGCTCTACTAATTGAGCCACACTGGCCAGGGCGATGCCCTCCCATCTTGACTCATGAGAAACCTTGGTGCCTCAAAGAATCTGGCTGTCACTTCATTTGCCATTTACTCTTTTATTCTGATTGAAGGAGAGACTTCTTGCCTGGTCAGTGTGGCTCAATGGTTGAGCATCAACCAGGAGGTCATGGACACATGCCGGGGTTGCGGGTTCAAACCCCAGAAGGGGACGTGCAGGAGGCAGCTGATCAGGGATTCTTTCATCATTGATGTTTCTATCTCTCCCTCTCCCTTTCTCTCTGAAATCAATAAAAAATATATATATATATATTTGTTTTTAAAAGGAGACTTCTTGCATAGAATCAACTTAGATTTTTAAAAATATTGATCTGAGGTAAGTCTGAACCCACCAGTGGCAAAAGTAACAAGTTGCTTTTGGAGGATACCAGATCTTTGTTTTACTCAGTTGGTTGATCATAATCCCACGCACCAAAAGGTGGATGGTTTGATTCTCAGTCAGGGCACATGCCTGGGTTTCAGGCTTGATCTCCAAGAGGGGATCTCTCTCTCTCAAATTAATAAAAACACAAAGAAGAAAAAAGAGTCGGAAGGGGACTTTAGTCCTTGCTTGATCAACTTCCTTTTTTCAAGAGCAAGGTGGTAAGGGCCCAGAGAGGTAAAGTGATTGGCCAAAGCCACATGTCAGGTTATTAACAAAGTTGGGTTCAAACCTTGGCTGAAGATCACCAGGTTCCATGCCAAGGCAATAAATTGTTACTGTTTTTGTGAAGTTCTATTCCCAGTTATTCGGCACTTAGTTATTCAGCTCACACCAGGTGCCAAGCTCCCTTCTAGGTGCTAGGGATCAGCAATAACTAAAGCAGTGCCTGCCCACATAAGTTTATGTTTTAGTGAGGGAGACAAATACTGAATATGTAGTAAGAGGTTAGGCAGTAATGAAAGAATCATGAAAAATATGGGCCACGGAGAAAAGATGGAGTTGACAAGGAGCTTTGTTTTTTTAATTGATTTTTTTTTAGAGAGAGAGAGACATCAATTTGTTATTCCACTTATTTATGTATTCGTTGGTTAATTCTTGTATGTGCCCTAACTGGGGATCGAACCCGCACCTTTGATGTATCGGACGACGCTCGAACCAACTGAGCTATCCAGCCAGGGCTAAGCCCTTATCCTTGTGAAGTGGTTTCCCTGCATTTTATAGAGCCCTGAATCTTGTGGGATCTTTCACAGAGACACAAGGTCAACTCTGTAGTTCACACTGACATTATACCTGGAAATCCCTTTCTTTCTGTCAGTTGCATTCCCAGCTGAGAATTTGTTCAGGTTGCAATTAAAGTGCAGTTCTCCATGCTGTTTTTCTTCTGCAGTTGTTTGTGATCTCCTTTTGTGTTGCATGCTTTTTAAAATTGTTATTCTTTATCAGTTCTTCATTTTTCCCAAATCAGGCAGCTATCAACTTTTATTCTTTCCTTTCCCAGACTCACACAATAAAGAATCATAATATGGTCTCCTTTTATTTATTTAGTTTTAACTTTTATTGATTTTATTTATGCATTTATTGGATGATTCTTGTATGTGCTCAGACCAGGGATTGAACCCATAACCTAAAGACACTAACCAACTAACCTATCCAACCAGGGCCAGTATGTTCTCCTTTTATTTTATTTTCGTTAATTCTTACCCCAGGATATTTTTCCATTGATTTTTAGACAGAGTGAAGGGAGGGGTAGAAACAGAGAGAAACATTGATGTGAGAGCACAACATTGATCGGGTGCCTCCCGTATGCCCCTCACTAGGGACCAAGACCACAACCCAGGCATGTGCACTTGACTGAGAATCGAATGGCAACGTCCTGGTGCAAGGGATGACACCCAGCCAACTGATTCACACTGGCCCGTGCAGAAATCTCTTGACTAGAGAATTTGCGAGGCTCTTTGCACTGTTTCTGTCAGATTTTGTTCCTTTACATTTCATTTTCACCATATTATCTTTCCTCTTGCTACACATTTATTCTTGTGTGAATGTTCAGTCTTCCTTATTTTCATACAAACAAACAGGTCCATTTCAGTAATTTGCACATTCCCTCCTTAACTTTCTTTTTATCACATTTCACTTTATCCCTTGGCCTGGGAAGTACATCATCATCTTAGACTTTCCTGATTTAAGAGCCACAGAGAAATAAATGCTATTCTGGAGTTTTTTATTTGCTATCCAGGCAGTCATTCTGTATACAGTGGTTTCTCTGACTGCAGTATCCATGTCAAGGCTGTGTTTACATTCTCTTTGCTTTTGGAATAGAGCTGCTTTTTAGTGGTGATTTGACTTAGAAAGCAGCTCCAAACTCTGCCGTCCAGACACTTGTTAATTCCGTTTCCAGGTTTAGCCTGACAGTCTCTGGTTTACCTTCCCAGCAAGTAATTAAATGCTTCCCTTCCTCTTTTTAAGGCCTGAAAGGGCTCAGTAGTGAGCCCTTCATCATCAGGCACAGCTAGAGCAGATGTGTCATTCTTCAGGATCATGACTGTGTCCTGCTAAGTTCCATGCCCCATTGACTAGGAGCAGAACCTTGTGCAGAAGCTGCATTTATAGAGCTTGGTGTTAGCCTTTTCATGGAAGGGGGATCTGTGCTTCCTCCTGTTTTCATTTTTCTTCACTCTCACTCTCTGAGTCTCCTCTGACATCAGGATTTGAAATCTGTTTAGGAACCACCACTTCAGTTTCACCAACTCGCCCCTTGCCTCCCTTCCAACCCCAATTCTTCTGGTTCCTGCCTGGAAATTACCATAGTATTTTTGACACCTTCTACATGCCAGACCATGCATTCATGCTTCTTGGGACACTGTCTTATTGTATCCTCAACAAACCTACAAGGTGGAGACCACTTCTGACTTGCTGCTGACAGGGAGATGCTCGTAAACATGGTCACACAGCAGAAAGAGACAAGGCTGTCTCCTAAGTGTTGTGCTTCCATCCCAAAGGTGTTGCAGTTGATAACTATTTCTATACATTTTAGTTATTAAAAACCTGATCTTTTAAAAAAAATGTTACCTTGGTTTTGAGGTACAAAGAAGTCTTGGAATGTTCTCCGGCCCTGGATTAAATTCTCCGAGCACGATAAGTGTGCTGATCTGGCACTTCCACCTCTCAGGATG